GTTTCCCTTTGATTTCTGACAGATGCCGGACCTCGATAGTATCTGCGCCTTGCAGACAAATGAGCCTGAAGCCATCCAGGCTGACTGCTCCGGCCGGGGTGCGACTTAAAAAGGGACAAACTGTTATTAGGGATTCCACAGTTTAATTACGCGGAGCTTGTTTAAAGGGGAGACATCAAGAAATGGGGCTGGGAACGAATCTCCTCTTAACAAACAGATCAGAAAATCAAATCTTTGTTTTCTTGAAATTCAGATTTACTCAAATTACTTTTTCATTTTATTAAGGCTGCATATTAAACTAATTAGCAAATTGTCATTCTCCACATCAGGAGAGGTCTTATTTTTAGCCCAGCAGCAGGGCTGTGCCTCTCCTGCTGCAGTGGGGTGACTGGAGAGGAGACGTGGGCACCGGCAGCTCCTCGCTGGTCTTGCCTGACCTTGAGTAATTAATTTAACCTTTCGGGGGGGATGGCTGGGCTGTGGCACGGAGCAGAGCCACCTAATTGAGCCCAATTAGCGAGCAGGAGCTTTGCAAGCAGGGCCGTGCAGCACACCAGCTCTGTCCCTGCCCGCCGCCCTGCCTTGCTGCTGCCTCCTTTCCCCCTGCCTGCATAAAGGGAGTGAGATGCTGCCACGCTGCCCCGGCGAGGCTGCCCTCCTCCTGCCTGCTCACGAGCTCGGAGGGCTTGGGAAGGAAGGAGCGAGGGAAGCCAGGGGAGGAGGGTGCCTGCTTCGCCTGCACCATGCGCATGGATCCTCCAAACCGCCGGCCCGAGGGGCTGGCAGTGGCCATCGGTGCCCCAGGTGCCCTGTCCCACCCTGGGCTTGACCCCCTCTGCGAGACGGGGCGCTTTTGGGGTTTTATGCAGCGCGGGGCACACAGGGGCTCAATAGCAAAATAATAACCGTAATCCTCCCGGCCTGAGGAATTGCTTTCAGGGGAAGGCTGTGGCTTTCCCCCAGCACATTACAATGCTTAATTTTCTTAGGGGAAAATAAAAATCATTTGGGGAGAAACAAAATATAATTCCTTTTTTCCTGAGCAGATTAAATTGCCAACCTGTTTTCCTTGAAAGTGGGCTTTAACAACTGCTGGTAATTAGGGGCGGGCTGTAATCCTGGCAGCCTCTTTCATCAGGAAGGAGCCTTTCGATCTGCACTGCGGTGTTT